TCAAATTTCTTCAGTGTTGGCCATCTGCAAAAATATCTTTTAAAGTATTTCATTCTTAGATCTCTGTATAACGGACATACAAGAAGAAAGTGATATTTCAGATTCTAAACTCCCATTGAACAGCATTTTGCATAATCTATTTTCTCTCAAGAGTACCATCATATCTCCCAGTTTCTATGGCTAGGGAATGTGCTGATACTCTGAACTTAGTTAATGCTATGCGATATTTTACAACGTTACGGTATCTAAAATATTTCTCCCGATTGAATGAAATGTTTAAATAAACAATAGGCTTCTAGTTTTCTAGAATTGTTAATATCGCTGTACCATGACTGATAAAAAGGCATCGAATATCTTTGTTTGATATGTACAAAATTGATATTTGATCCACAATATTCATTTTGGGACAACCAAAAGTAATTAAGACCCCAATTTCCTGTAGTACAAGTTTTACCTGATGAGGCCCAGTTTTTTCCCCCCATAAAGTAAATTATTGTCAGAGTCACATCTAAGCATTTCATAAACTTGACGTATGATACTAGATTCGTCGATTCCAGTACTTTAAGCCAGAAATTTTAACATTCGCAAACTTACGTATAACAATTAACGGCACTCTGCCCAACTCCCCATAAAGTGCAGAACTATTTGTTGTCATTCTTACGCATAATAATTTTCTTTAAAAAACTTTGTGGATACGGTTCCAGGTCAGGGCATGGGTTTGAACCTATGACCTCACTTCCAAAGTGGAGAATTGATGAAACTAATGAATCAAACATATATAATTTTTGACTGATAGGTAGATTCTATTTTCTGTGAAATATTGAAAATAATCGATTCATTGCAAAACTTGCGTGGTGAGCTATTGCTTTCTGGCTACGATTCCACTGACCATTTTTTATATAGTTAATACCCAAATACTTAAATGATGTAACAACTTCGAGTTTTTCACCATAAATAAAAAAGTCTTTCGTGTGTGACGTCCTTTTTCAAATAAATCATTACTTTTGGTTTTACTTATATTTATTTTAAGCCCCAGATATTACAATGAAGTTTTCAATGTCGCGAAGCATTGATTGCAATGACTCCGCTGATTTAGCAAATACAACTTGGTCGTCTGCGTAAAGCAGCAAAAAATAAGACTAAGTTCTCTGAAGGTTTAATATATATCTATGTCATGATTAATATTATTAATTAAGTCTTGACGAACATCATTGAGATCATCGGCGAACAGGGGTCCTCCCTGAGCTTAACGCCTCGTTTTGACGAGAAAATGGAGAATACTCTTTGTTTAATCGTACACATTGACTTGACTGAGTTTTATACATTGCCTTAGTGCAGTCACCATGCGGCTATTTACATTTTTTCAGCCACTAGTTTGTACCATAAAAGATTTTTTTTCAATTGAATCAAAGCAGCGCTCAATAGTCAATAAATGCTGGGTATAATTACCATTAGAGTTAAGGGTTTTACATATAACCGCCTGTAAATGAAATATACAGTCAATGATGGACTTTCCTTTTTGAAACCCAAACTGATTTTTACTTAACTTTTCTATTTGTTTGACCATTTTGTGAGTCTATTTAACAATAGTTGGGAGTAAATCTTTGCAAGTATGTCAATATGGGTTATACCCCTACATTTTGTGCTAAGTCAGGATCACCCTTCTTATAAATCGGGGTAATAATGCCCTTACCCCCAAGAATCTGGATAAATACCTGATAAATAAACTTTATTGTATTTATTCGCGCAGTAATAGAGGCGGATTATATCGTACGAGCTTTAAATATTTCTGCGGGTAAATTATCCGGTCTGGAGCTTTATTATTATTTTGTTTAAAGATGCGCAATGCAGCTCCTCTTCGGTAAACTCGCGGTCAAATTCGTCTGCGTATAAATCACAGTCGGGTAAATTTTCAAAAGTTATTTTCTGAGTCATTTTCGCTACCGAACATATTTTTAAAGTGTTCAAATTAAATCATCTAACTTTAAATTATTTGTTTGAGAGCTTTTTGTATTCATACTTTTTTTTATTTTATTCCAGAACTGTCTAGGATTTGAATTTTTACCAATGAGCCAATTCGTTTTCCTTCTTTCTGTTTGAATTTATGTTTGTGTCTATACTTAGTTTTATTATATTTCGTTCTCGCATTTACCATGTTACGTCTATTAGCATCAGATCTGTTTTTAATATATACATTTCTATTTCTGTTAAATTCTCGTTTTGCATCGCGACATTCAGATTAAACCAGGGTTGTTTACAACCAATATGACCCGGTTTTGTATGGCGACGCGTGATAGTAAAAACATTAACTTACTTTTTCATACATAAGCGTAGTAAATTGACTGACCACGTGATCAATATCCGTATTATCAACCAATGAGATTAAATGATCTATCTGAGTGCGTTCACCTGATAAGAGATTTCTAAAGCGTGCGGAGTTTGGACTCGTCCATTTTTACGTATGAGTAGTCACGGTTAATTGACTCATCGGATTCACGTGCCGTTGTTTGATTATTCATTTAGTTTGGTAAAAAATGAAAAAAAAAATCGGTGCATGATCAGAAATTCATTACAATTTAGAATTTTAAAATCGTTAAGGCATCTAAAATTATCAAAATTGGTTATTAAAATAGTCAACTGTGCTTGACCCCTGCATTGAGGTGTAAGTGAACTCGCCCTCAGAGTCCCCAGGAAGCCTTCCATTTACGATGCGAACACCAGTGTTCTTACAAAAAATCTAATAATTTCCGACCAGAGATCTAGAATCAATAACTTTGTCTCTATTTTTCCTTAATGGTAGACTTTTCGTCTTCAATCAATGAGTAATTATTTACTTATATATATGTCGACATCAAAATAATCTAAATAATTCGAGGTTCTACTATTGAAGTCTCCAGTAAAGAAAACATTTCCTTGAGTACAAAACATATTATAGTCAGTTTCTAATAAATCAAATAAATCAACATCATTAACCTAAAATCTTAGACATGTTTGGGGGTACTATACACGTGGCAAATATAGCAGGGACAGTTTGATACAAAAAGGTTTGCTGAAAAGTTCGAGCCACAAAATACCCTCCTGTTTTTTGCTTACAATGTTAATAATGTTCTGCTAATTTGACCTTGAAATACAACGAAATACCTCCACTAAAGCGTCCCATTGTAGTCCTTTGAGATTTATTTCCACATATATTGCTCACTTTTAAATCCATTTATGTTTAAATCACATTGTTTCTTTATTTGATATCCATGTTTCGTTTAATAGGATGATGTCATATTGTTGAATAAATTCGATGAAATCACTATCACTTAGCTTACGCTTTAGTCCGTTAACGTTCCAAGCAATTATTCTAATAGTTCCCTGTTGACATCCCTAGTGGCGAGTGTCATGGTTCCTGGCGGTCTGGGGTAGTAGATGTTTCCATAGGTTCTCTGTACAACTTTCCGTCAACGTAAAGTTTGTCTACGACCAATTTGACGTTATGCCCATCCTTTTCTAATTTCTGCAGAATCGGACGAAGTAATCGGCGGCGCTCACGTATCTCAATATGGGTATTGCACCCCAATTCCTAGGTCTTTTGATTTAAGATCATCACGCTTTCCATAAGATAGCTGTCTAATGTGTTCTCGTGTTTTAAAGTCACTAAAACGTGCGATGATCGGTCTCACTTTGTTTTTACCTTGCTTCCTGCACGATTTGCCCAATCAACATGTACTTTTTTAACGCTTTCTTCAATCCATACCCAGGCCCGTAGATAGAAAAGTCTCCTTTATCAAAGTTTCGCATATTTCTCCATCTTGTTCTGGTAAACCGTAAAACACTAGATTATGACTCATTGATTTACGTTCAAGGTCAATCAATTTCTCGTCCATATTGTATTTTTCTTTGGTAATTGTTTTCATTTCAGCTTCAAGTCTATTACATTTTATGTTCATTGATTTCATCATTTCCGTAGCATTTTTCAAGTCTTTTGTCATAACATCATGTGTATCTTGCTAGAAAAAAACACAATTTCTCATTTTCCAGTGTACGTTCATCCAGTGATTTAACAGTTAATTCTAAGCCAGAGAGCTTTTTATGAATATTTGTAACATGTTTTTCGATTTGGTCTATTTTGAAACTTTTTTCCTTAATATCTTTCATATCCTGCATAAGATGCTTTACGTCATCCATGATCTGAGAAGCCCAAGGTGGTATTCCATGACCCGGAAATATCAGTGGTGCCGCTGGATAAACGCTTCCACCCCCGCTACCATGTGAGGGGGGTGGGGGGCTAGATAGATATGGCTGAGAATGAGGGCTGTGATAAACAAAAGGATTTTGCATCTCGTGTGTTAATTGGCTCCAAATTTCCGAATTATACACGGAAGAGAGACTTACAGAAGAGATACAAAAATACTATTTAATTACTATTTAATTACCATTTAATTGTTTAATACTTTTATTTGAAATTTTTATCTTTTTAGAAATTGTCATTATTTGCTGTATACTTTCTTTTTACAGGTCGGATTATTTTTTTCTTTGATCTATATTAGTCGTTATAATATTAATGATGCACTTATTTATCAAATAATGAAAAAAAAAAATACAAACCGCTATAAAATTAACCAATTAAAAGACTCTCCCGTAATTGATATGCTTTCTCATTTATAACATTTTATGGGCCCCATTTTATGCTCGCATGAATTAATTAATATCTTTTCCCGTAATTAATACTTTTACATTTTTCTCTTTAATGAAAATATATAATTAAAAACAACAACAAAACACATAATAAAAACATTTTATTTGAAACGAAATACATTATATAGGGAAAAAAATCTTATATCAACACATTTTTCATCTAGAAAGATCGATAACTTTTAGAAGACCGGCACTGACCGGGCCAGTAAATATGATACTATTCGCCGGTCTCTCGTAAATTCCGGTCAAAATAGACCGGGAGAGACCGGAGACCGGAAGGGACCGGACCGGAGAATAGTACATCCCTTCCGAATGCGGTCACGACCGGTGTACACATAGAGATATAGCCAATCCGGTACATTCGCGCTTATTTTAAACAGATAAAGTAGAAATATGAATTTCTTTCTCTTTTATCTACTTACAAGTAAGTTGTTGATATAAATAGAGCTTTAATAATACATGTACATCAAATGCTTTTTCGGATCACTAACCCTCTCTCTCATAGATAGCCTTTTGATACCATCTCTCGAACGGTCAAGGTGATAAATTTTATATTTGACAAATCAAATTTATGCTGTGCAGCAAGAGATAGTTTAATAAAGTGACAAGCACTTACATTTGCTTTGTTTTGGCAAAGTTCCATATTTACAGCTTCATTTTGACCCGAAAGTTCAATTTTAAGATAAAGGCAGCCTACTTTCATTTTTGTAATGGGAGAGTTTCTAGTTAATCCAGCAGAGTTATCTCTGCAGCGCCCCTGGCAAATAAGAGGTATATACACCTGTATGCTGTATAGCTGGTTTACATTGAATTTCAATGGGAAAATGCAGAGTATGTAATCAACTGATCTAATTAATAAGATAAAGTTTATATTATAAAGTAAGCTGATTAACACTGCAGCCTTAGAAATGGTGAATTACTGTTGTGTTTCACTTTGTAATGGGTTTTGAGGGTTTCATTTTCCACAAGACAAAAGATTAAAGAATAAATGGAGAGAACCAGTAAAGAAGGGTGTGCATGGTAATAAAATGAAGTTATGGTCACGCACATTTGCCATGCCAATAATGATCAAATTGTCATAATAATTAATAATAATAATCCCCCCTTGATCATCAAGAACAAAATTACTATCCAGCACCCGTTTACTATATAAAATATATTTTACATAGTTATAGTAATTTTTTGTTGCCTGTAGTCAGAGACATGTGCATAGCATCAAAACTGATACATGTGTGGAACGGGTAATAGGATTTGCAAAGTAATTGAAAATTCTGAAATCAGAACTTAATTAAACAGGGGTCACATATTTTATACGTTTGTTTCATGATTCTAAATTGTTGACAAACTAGCTTGATTGTAGAAAATATTTAAGTGATTTGACATACTAGAATGGAATATAATGAATTATACAATAAGTATTGATACTCATTATCAATAAAGACAGATGTATAATGTGAAGATTTTATTTTTTCAGACACACATTATCATGATTATGTCACGTTTTAATGCACATACAAGTACATCTTGCCTTAATACATGTAATAAAGTATGTAAAACTGAGCTAATGGCCCAGTAGCAGAATGGGTTCTCCCTTAAAGTCTAAATTTCTGGTCATACGTCTCCAATCTGTTAAAAATTATATAACTAGATGCATTTTATTTACTAAAGAACAAATTTGAAGTAATAAACTCTATATGATTATATTTATTTGAAGCATCATAAATTTACAAATATACAAAAAAATAGATTATATCAAACATATTGTATAATTCACTTTGATTATTTCTACGTAAATAAAATGTATATAAAGGCATTATATTTTAAAAAGTTTTAACAGGAAAGTGTTGATTATTTATCCAAGATCATTTTCATACTGTTATTCAGTCTACATTGTCTACATTGTACAGTTGAAAAATAAAGCAGTTTACCGGTATATGTTTAAGATTTAATGTAATATATTCAATTTGTTAAATATAATTACCTTAATATTAAATGATAAAATCTTCATTTATTTCTGCTGCTGAAGCCCCTTTGGTAATTAATTATTTCTTTAATTTAACAACTGACCAGTCAAAATACTCTGAAACTTTCTATTAATCTCCGTGTTTACATCAAGTGGCCGTAGTTTGTATACCTCTTATTTACTACTTCCGCTTATCAGTAGCGTGTGGGAAACTCCCCCATTGAGTATTTTTGTAAAGTTACCACTTTACTAATGTAGATTTGTGGAATAAGTCAGAACAATAAGAATACTTAATGGACCCGTCTTTCAAGAAAATATGAGCGTAATTTTACTGTATTTTTGATTTGTTTTATGAACGTTGACCTAGTTTCTTGATTTATTGTTTTGTTCAATCAAATATTTAATCGAACAAGATAAATCAAGTTGAACACCACTAAATGTATTTCTTCTTCTGTTCTCAATATGCAATTGATACCATTATCAATGTTGAAAGGAATAATCACCTTTCGGTTGATATAAGTGAAGCTGCTTGTGATTTGTGAAGCTGTTGTACAGTAAAAACCCTCAATTAAGACCACCATCGGGACTGGACCAAAGTTGTCTTAATTGTGGGGTGGTCTAACAGGGTGTCCGTTAGACCCTTGAAATGACTCTTTGACCCTTCAAATTTCCAAAAGGCCTGATTTGACCCTCAGGATTTTAACTGGAGGGTCAAATTTTGTTAAATTCATGGGGATTTGGCCTTGTAGTCTGTTTTACAGATGTCATGCCTAAGAGCATTTAAGCAGAAAATAATTGACAGATACAGACGCAGAAAGATGCCCCAAATTCAAAAGCTTATCGTGGTTATTTAACGTGCCAAGTGTTCAAGCACTCATACACAGGACTTCGATTTAAATTCTCACCCGAAAGACTGATTAGCAATTTTAGCCGGCTCATATTTTTAAGAAATAACATATCATGAGGTGATATTCTTTTCGAAATAAAGTTGAGCCATGTTTTAATTAATGATTTAATAATTGATCCATGTTTCAATCATTTTGGAAGGACCAGGCCCCGTGTTCACTAAGAAAAGATCAGGATCAGGATCACGTGATCCTGATTTTATTTTCATTGTTTTATAGTATTAAAATTAATCGTGTTTTGCTAAAATTAAATGATAGGTATTCAAAATGTAAAAAATTGCCGATTTGCAAAGAAACCAAACTATTTTTGGATAAAATCAACAAATAACAAAACAAATACAATTTTTTTTTGGATCAAAATAAGAATCAATTTTAGGGTCAGGATCAAAATTTGGATCAGCTGTAAAATGCACGTATCTTGTAAAAATAACAATAAATTTATTCTAAAATTTCATGAAATTGCTATTGCAAGTCCAGTTCTATCAAATTAATATTAGATATTTAATCTATGACGATAAACAACGAAGAATAGTAGAGTTATTAAATTTGATCCTGATCTTGATCCTGATCCTTAAATCTTTGTGAACACGGGGCCAGGGGTTAATAAATCAGAAGGACAAATATTTTCAATTTCACTGGTACAAGTAAAAAATCAACAAAAGTTGATATATGTTAATTGATATATGTTACATAAATGCATAAAAGTATTTCTAGGACTGATAGAAAGTGTAATTTGAAAAATGAATATAAAATTATTTAAGATTTAGACTTGGTCAGAGTAGACCAATCATCGAGTCTCGGAATGTACTTTATCCGTTCTCGTTAGTTGATGCTGTGTAAGTCTCACTATTAGGATGACACATTTTTGGAGAATTTCACTTAGTGTCCTGCAAAACACTGAAATATAAAACAGTTGCTGCAAGTCACCTGTCTTTTTGTTGTCATTAAAATGTATTATTAGGAAAGGCCCTAAACACATTTTAGTACTAGTAATTGTAATAACTTTGTAGGTGATTATCATCAGATTTATTCAAAAGATGAAATGGTTTAAATAAAATTGTTCATATTCAAATTTTAGGCAAAAATGTTAAGATAAGATAAAGTGGTTATTCACTATAATATTTTAATAAGATAACCCAATTGTGTCATCACAGTACCAACTGACATTCAATTACTCACACAAAAAACCCAGATAAAACTATGATTATTCTGACAATTATTGTAGGTATTACTGTAAGTACAGATATTACAGGCTGCAAAGATGTTTTGATGACCGAGAATAAAGACTGTTTTGACGGATATAAAACATACTTGGCTAATCTCGGCAACAGCGGAGCAGATTCCTCACAAATATTGTCACTTCTTTGCAGGTAAGGAATTACGTGTAGCATATTTCATGTGTTGCATTGTAAATTTGATAATTCTTTGGCATTAAAAAATTTAAGTCTGATAAGTTTTATAACACATAGCATTCGTGTTACATGTAATCCAATAGTTCACCAAGTCAAAATGAATGTCTTAATCTAGATTTTTGTGCCACTATTTCTCAATGTCATGTCTGTGAAAGTTTAACTGTTCATCATACTTCAGTAACTACTTCAGAATTAACATTGTACATACAACAACTTCAAACTGTACAGAAATTCTGTCAACATTCTTTCATTATGTCGTTTTTTCCACAGAGATGAGGGTAGAGCGGCAACAAATTGTTTAAAACCACTTCTAGATGAATGTAAGGAGCTTGCAGATGATGATATGTATCTAGTATTTACAGTACTTGATACAATGGGCGGATGTGAAGTACTGGAATCTCCAGGTTTGTTATTTAAATTTACTAGAAAAGAAAATATTCATTTTGTGCTCATGAGTAAATTTATATCTAGCATTGTCGCCTGACTCTTAAAATGCTCTATTGTTTTGCACAAATGAGACTTTTATGTTATTGAATTCGTCTAGAATATATTTCTACTTGTATGTGGCAATTATGTTCATTGTGACATTATTGACAAAGAACATTTTGTGCTAGTTCTACTGTAAGAACACATGCAGCTAAAATCTGTGTCTCAAAGGACTTCAATAAGAAGTACAATTCTGAAATATCAAACTTCTAAACATATTAATTTGTCTGAATCTTTGTGTAAATTCCTGGGTACTTTCTGTTATAGTGTGTCAAAGTGATGACAATATTCTGTCGACACAATACCAACATAATATCAATCAAAATTTATCAAAATGAAAAAAAAAACGTTCTTTTTTAAATAATAGCAACAATATATCTACCTATCTTAACATGAAACAAAATTAAAGGTACTGTTGTCCCGATTGTCTCTGAAAATCGCTAACTAATCGGAGCACCCCAAAATCGGCAACTATCGATAGTCCTTTTTAAAAATTGATTATTTTAAAGTTCTACCACTGCATGAATTGCTTAGGGCGTAACTTTTTTACACGCGGTCAAATAGAAATTTCCCAACTGAATCTCTATAATTCCAGACGATCCTAAAGTCTTCTTTGTATTCAAAACCTACTTATCATGGTTAATACTAACTACTTAAGAAAATTATAGTGTGTAATAGCATAACCTCATAAACTTTTATATAGTTATTTACTGTAGTTAAATGAGTGATCTACAATATTACTCATTTATATTGTGACCTGTTGACTAGTACTAATATTGACTGCCATAAAGTTGTATTATACAATAATTGACTGTCACAAAGTATATTAGGTATTTGTGATGTTTGTTTTGAATTCAAAGAGCAAATCATACTTTAATCTTGGAGACAAGGGTTTATTTATTCTCAAAATGTGGTCACTACTGTATACAAAAAAAATACATACATGGATTGGTACCTTAAAAGAAAATAGGTCCATAATGATAATAAGTGCAAAACTTGATTATACTATCGGCAGACAATCGATTGTGGTGGTCCGATTATCGATAGTGATTTTTGAGTCCGATACCCAACACTAATTAAAGGTAGTATCGATATAATGGCAACATAATATTAACATTATATGAAAATTTGATCAACATTATTGCAACATGATAGCACCCAGCTTCTTAGAGCCATTGCTGCTTGGTCCATAGTTATATTTAAGCCAAATTATGGAGTGAACCCACGACAACGTACTTCACACCGATATCACCTATTGATCACCTGTTTTTCAACTTTTTTTCAACTTTCAAATGCTATTCAATAAAGATAAGTTTAATCGGTGATCAAAAATGTTCGTGAAAATTTCAACAAATAACCGATCGAACATGTCTACAACCGATATTTTCGATGAGCCAACAATAATAGTACCTACCAAATATTGTTGATAGCTCATCTGATTAAAATGTAGGGTTTCGTCCGTTTTGACGGGTGGTTAATATGAATTCTTTCTGTGACCAGTTGATTTCCGCCATTCTGTTATGTGATGTGTAAGTGGCCAATCGGTATTTATAAGAACTCATCGGCTGCTGATTGGTTGCCGGGCACTTTATCTGTGACCAGTCTGATTTCAAGTATGGTGAATAAAGGCCTAGTGGAAGACAAGATGTAGTTTGATTGTTGATGCCAGTCGCTACTCAATATGGTAAATATCCTAGGCTACTGATTGGTTGCAGATCGTCGTCTAATTTCATTTAGTATTTTCGTCGACAACCAGCAACCTATGAAATGTTTTTTAATAGATAAACACCTTTCCCTCATCTATGGCCATTTACAAAGGAAACCAGAATAAAATAAGTCATGACAACCGAACAATTTTTAAATGACCGATTGGGAACCGAACGTCTCCGAAACTGGCCTAACATAATACAAACATAATGTCAAAAAAATGTGAACATAAAAACAAAAATGATATAACATGATATCAACATAGTACTTACATAATATCAACATAGTACTAACATAATGTCGATTTAGTACTAACATAATGTCAATATAGTACTACAATAATGTCAATATAGTACTAACATAATATCGACATATTATTAACATAATATTGATTTGAATCGCTTTAATAAGCGCATTCAAAAATATATGAACATTCTTTTTGTATGTTTAACTTTTATAGATCCTGTAACTCATTTATTTTATGGTTTTGTAGGGTTAGGGTTTGTGAAGATTTATCAATGTGTTTGTTCTAAAAAAAGCATTATTTGTAAAGATATTACCGAATTAGCATTTAATGTAAATAAAGGGAGGTAATTACAAATTTATTTTCGATAAAGTGTTAGCAAAATTTTTCATTAGAAATGAATGCACATATTTTAATGATTTCTTATAATGCGTGTAAACATTTCCAGTACATGTTCTTGGATGTTTGGAAATTGTTTTAGAAGAATAGTTATACACATAGATAAAATTCCACTTAAGTGTTGTTACATCCTTAATCCCATCTTTAATTACAACATACATGATCTTTAACGATTTTTTTCAACAAAGTTTGTTTTCCTTCTGAACAGTTTTTAATGTACACAATGAATAAATTTATTTTATCGCTGTCATCATACAAACTTCTCGTTAAATATTTTTTGTGCTTTCTGATTTGCAGTCTTTTTATTTTTATTAGCCAATCTTGTAATGCTTTATTGTTATTTGAATAAATATTGTTTGAAATAATTATGCTAGAAACCATAGTAGATGTCAATGGGGAAATGTCCAATGATGGTACCGAAATTGTTGATGAAGTGGACCATGACATCGCAAATTATACAACACTGTTTGCCAAATTACAAGAAGAAAGTAAAGCAATTTGCAGGTAATTTTCAATTGTTCAATTCAATACTTTATATTCTTAAATCAAATTTAAGTGTATCATTGAATTATAAAAGCGGTTAGAAATGGAAATTGATATATTTTATCTTCAGTGAAATCTTATGCTTATTTTGAAAAAAAAACATGAGCTGTCGGAATAGCAAGAAATGCGAAGTTTTTCGTCTGTTAAGGTATATTATACAACGCAGACTTGTGAAAATTGGCACAATGTTTCGTTTGTATACCTATGATGAAGACATCAACATTTTTCAAATGATTTAAAAGTTTCAATTATGGACAAAACAGCATGTTGGACAATACGCGTCCCGGACAGCCTTGAATGATTAAGCTGATGTTAGGGACATCACTGTAGAGTTACACAGAAGACCATTGTCGCACTTTCAAGGCATTAAAAACCTTTGGGATTCACATATAGAACATATATATGTCATAGCTTTGATATTTGAAATGTTATACATGTATTTTTATAAAATGTTTGGTGACTTTGCAGCATATATTGAATTGTATTGTGTTGAAGTTTAAATCTTCAATGACATTTAGTTTATGTTTTATAGTAAAAGTCTTCGAATTTTCTATTCACGCATCGTCCATTCTGTCGAATGCTGCATGAAACATTAAATACGTGACACACATTGTAATGATTCATACATTTGTTTAACAATAAAATAATATATATATTCTCAAGATTGTTACGTTAACTCACCTGGAGACGTTAGTTTGAAAAACAAATTCTCAAAATAAATGTACTTTATTTTACACAGCAATTGGACAGAAAAGCTTCAATGTTCAGACAACACGTGTCCAAAAGTTGAAAGACAAGAAAACAAATCCAAACAGAGGAGGTCAAATCAAACTGGTCTTTCGTTCGATGTTCAACTTTTAAAATTTCAGTGCCCTCTCTTTTCACCAGGTAAATATTTCAATACAGTAAACTCCACTTATGACGATTTCGCTTAAAACGATAAACTGCTTATAACGACGCTGATGCCACGGTCCCGACTTAAGCAGAGTTTACTGTATCTGATATTCTTGAAATTATCAATACCTTTATTATTGAATTTTTGTCAACTTGTTTCGCATATCTAATCAGAACTGCCCCAAGCGTCAACCAAACAATCTGCATTTCTTCATCGAATTCAAAAAACTTTTGCCTTACCACCAAATAATCAGTGTGATATTTTATAGATACACTATGCTCAAATCTGATTTCACAAAATATTGATAATTATTGCACAGTCTCTTTGTAAATATGAAATAAATAAGTTTGACTTCACACAAAGTAGATATGTCATATTTAAAACTCTACACTCTATAGATTGTCACATTATGAATATATAGTGTCATTAAAAAACTGGCAGTTTAAGAAAATACCATCCATCTTTCATACATCTGAATAAATATTTTTGATTAAATTATTTTACTCAAAATGAGTATAGTATATCTTTAAAGATTAATTTTAATTTTTTTCAGTCAATGATTATTGCCGTCCGTACAAACGAGTCAAAACACTGTCTTGATCAAATTTAACAATTTATGTTAGTATCAAATAATTATAATTGAGATAATTTCTTTTACAATCATCGCTCACTATTATCTGTCACGATAATTGATAATAATTTTATGTCACGATCATGTATCATTATTGTATGTCACGATCATGTATCATTATTGTATGTCACGAACATTGATCATTTATTGTCTGTCACGATCATTGATCATTATTGTATGTCACGATCATTGATCATTATTGTGTGTCACGATCATGTATCATTATTGTATGTCACGATCATGTATCATTATTGTATGTCACGAACATTGATCATTTATTGTCTGCCACGATCATTGATCATTTATTGTCTGTCACGATCATTGATCATTATTGTCTGTCACGATCATTGGTCAATATTGTATGTCACGAACATTGATCATTATTGTCTGTCACGATAATGTATCATTATTGTATGTCACGATCATGTATCATTATTGTATGTCACGAACATTGATCATTTATTGTCTGTCACGATCATTGATCATTATTGTATGTCACGATCATTGATCATTATTGTCTGTCACGATCATTGGTCATTATTGTATGTCACGATCATTGATCATTATTGTCTGTCACGATCATTGATCATTATTGTATGTCACGATCATTGATCATTATTGTCTCTCACGATCATTGGTCATTATTGTATGTCACGATCATTGATCATTTATTGTCTGTCAAGTTCATTGATCATAATAGTCTGTCATGATCATTGATCATATTTTTCTGTTACGATCATTGATGATCATTATTGTCTGTCACGATCATTTGTCTTTATTGTCTGTCAAGTTCGTTGATCATTATTGTCTGTTACGATCATTTATCTTTATTGTCTGTCAAGTCCATTGATCATTATTTTCTGTCAAGTTCATTGATAATTATTGTCTGTCACGATTATTGATCATAATATTCTGTCACGATCATTTATCCTTATTGTCTCTCGCGATCATATATCTTTATTGTTTTTCACGGTAATATATCTTTATTGTCTGTCACGATCATATATCTTTATTGTCTGTCACGATCATTGATCATTATTGTCTGTCACGATCATTGATCATTATTGTCTGTCACGATCATTGATTATAATTTTCTGCAACGATCATTGATCATTTTTGTCTATCACCTTCGTTGGTCATTATTGTCTGTCAAGTTCATTGATCGTTATTTTCTGTCACGATCATTTATCTTTATTGTCTGTTACAATCATTTATCTTTATTGTCTGTCACGATTATTTATCTATATCATCTGTCACGTTTGTTGATCATTATTGTCTGTCACGATCGTTGATCATTATTGCCTGTCAGGATTATTTATCTTAATTGTCTGTCACGATCACTGATCATTATTGACTTTCACGTTCAATGATCATTATTGTCTGTCACGATCATTTATCTTTATTGTCTGTCACGATCATTGATCATTAGATTAGATTAGATTATATCATCATATATTAGATTACTATGAAGACGGCTGTTTGGAGGATAGATTGACGACAGATCTCCAATATATCACTTGCTTCAATAATGCCACCAATTTTATGAAAACGAATCTGACTTGCGAGTAAGTATCACTGGTTTTTGTTGTTGTTGTTTTTGTTGGTGTTCTTTTTTTGTTAAAATTGTTAGGGTTAGGGTTAGTTTCCTTGTACCGATGTTAGTTTAATTTACGAGTATAAATATAGAATAAAAGCGGAAGAAGTGATTAATACCTATGTAACTATATACAGTAACAAAATCTAGGGTATTTCAAGGCCATTATGGCAAGATCTAAGTCATTATGCTATTTCGGCCGCCTTGCTACTTGGCATTATTTTTCTGTAATGGGCGAGTGAATGATCGCACGTTCAAAATGACGTAATCAACTCTCAGTGACGTTCAATGAATTGTAGTTACTTTCACACAAAATATTTTAAAGTTTTTAAAAATGACATAATTAATCGCAATCAGCAAAGTTATTCCAAATATATCTTTAGAAGAGATATTGTTTGTTAAACATGTACTTTTTATTTCAAACCATTCATGTTATTTATAAAACGTGTGTGTGGAAATATATATTATCAGCGACTTGTTTAAAAATGTTACATTCAAACATGAGTTCATTTCCATAATTTGATAATATATGTTTAACAAATAAGTTCCCAAATCCTCAAAACTGTACTTAATAATATTTCGTTTAATTTTATCTGGTTTTCCATCCCAAATGAAATGAAATATTGCATTTTCAATTTTTCTTGATTTTTTAAAAATATTCTGGTGGGTTTTCTAACACTGCAAAAGCATATCTAACACTGCAAAAGAGTATTAGTTTTGGTTACCTTACCCATCAGAGTTAATTTTCCAAGTAGCCATCAAGCAGTTTTAAAATTCCTCAAGTTTTGGTTCGAGATTATTTTTTAATATCTTTTAATATATCTGTTTAAAAGAAACTCCTAATGTTTTTGCCAATTCTGATGACTATTTAAAAGTTGTAATTTTTACAAGATATTGTACTTGTATTATGAAGTGATCCAATTCTTAATATTGTTGATTTTTTAGTATTAAGATTAAGACCTGGTATACGACTAAAGTTTTTTAAAACATAAACAAGCCGTTCAAAAGACATTTGCAGTGGCGGGTTCAGGCCCGGGCTTCAGGGCTGCAGCCCCACCCCATCTTGACCCAAAGATATGTTTACCAGCTGGGCTGGAATATATTTTTGTCAGTTTCAAACTTTATTGGCTGTAGTGTTCTCCGTTATCAAAACATTAATTGCTGTCATCCAGTTGTTAATCTCCTGCCTAGGGGCTTGGCAGACATCTTTATCTATCAGCATGCTTGAATGACTTCATTGTTTAAACTGCATAATTGATTGGTTTATTACTTTCCAAAGGTCTAATGAAATCAATAGTCACTGATAGTGGCAAATAGATGTGTTACAGTGTGCACTATATTTTACTATCTTTGTTTTTCCAAGTCCTATTATTAAGAAATTTAAAATTATTATTTGTAAATTAAAAAGATGGCGAGTTTTATAATGATAATATTAAAGGAATCGCGTTTTAATCACTACCGGTAGTTTTACTAAGTTTTTTATTAAGATGACATAATTGGTCATTTGCTATTAATAACTTTTTATGGCAGTTATATTTTTAAATATAATTTAAATTGTACTGACCTCTTTAGTATCTAAAATGGATTCATTGATGGGAAAAACTCTTATTGAATACTAGTGTTTAATTTTATTTTTTTTGGTACATTAGGAAGGCAGTATTTTAATATCACTTACAATGTAACTTTGGAAAATCGTCTATTATTCAGATGAATAAATCAAGTGTTTGAATTTATTTTTATCAACAGTTTAGCATACATTGGTAAGTGTGCTGTTATTTTGTAAATGCTCACTACTTAACATTAGGGGAATTCCTTTTGAAAAACCCTGCAAACAATAACCTATACAAAATACATTATTTTGTAAAACCATCCAAAAGGTACAATAAACAGCACTAGAAAGTCAAGGAAATAACACCATTTTCAACCTCATAGTTCAAAATTTTCTCGGTCTATGGGAGGGGACACCCCTCCCATGCCCACTCCATTTACATATATTTTTCTTAATTCCATATCAACTAAATATTTACAAAAACATTAATATACTCATTTTAAAGGAAAGTGCATCGCCACTCATAAGATGAGCTATAAAACACATCAATTACAATTTTTGTCTCATGAACAACAGACCAAGATGCTGGCCCAAGCTTCAATTTTCGCCTGTTGAATTATGTTTGTCAAATTCGTCCACCCGTATGTCAGCCCCCCCCCCCAGGAAACCATGTTCTGTATCCGCCCCTGATTTGTGTACCATTATTGATAAATGATGCACCATCAGCAAAAAAGTTTGTTTAATTTGTTTCCTTCAATATATATTCCCTTGATATCGCGATCATTTTCTATGTAATTTGACAATATTTCAAGACATATAATAAACAAGGATGATAATGGACATTCCTGTCTCACACCCCTTTCTATATTAAATGTTTCTGAAAATGTCCGTTATTGATAGTGAAGTTACCTATAACAAAAGAATGATTGATTGATTTTATAAAATGTTCTTTACATTTAATATAACTCTACTGTCAAGCCATCATAGTCTGGGCTTTTATCGTTTTGTATTTCTTTTAAAGCTATATTTATTTCATGTGCATTTAAAACTCCTTCACAACTGTAGTAAAGTTTTAATATATATGCTTAAAATCTATTTCTAAAGATTCAAAATATTTTATTTTTTTACAAATCTTCAAAGAATATTTTTTCTTCTCTAAGAATTTCTTCTTTGTCAGTTATTTCTGTTGCTTCTTTAAGTCCAACTTTTTTACTTTAATTCTCTTCATTGATTCTATCATCTGTTTGAAGTGACAGTTTGTTTTCGAATTTTTGTATGTCATTAATAAGATTATGTTCTTTATTATTTTCTTTTTTCTTTTTATTGCTTGCATACTTTATTGTTTCATTACGTATTCCACCTTTTATTATTTCCCATAATGTTTTAGGGTCGCCGTTTTTATTAATTTCTGCCAACATTTAAATTGTATTTTTCACAACAGTCTAATATTTTTGTCTATCAGTTCTGAATTTTAATATTCAAACATTGAAGTTTAATATTCAAACAGAGAGATGCATTATTTTTGACTAGTCAACTTGTAAATTGTTAGCCAATGAAAATAGTAAGTTATCTTCTTATTTATATTTTTGTTTTATTTATGAAGGCAGTATAAAAGCGCCTATGACTGTGTAAAGACAGCTATCAAACCATGCAAGGATGGACATAAGGAAGCGTTTTTAAATACAACAAATATCTACATTGATGTTATGTTTGAGAGGGATTGTAAAATTGAGATTGGGAAGGCGATAACCAAGGAGAATACCGTAGAGAAGGCAACGAGTAACGCCTATGTCAACATGCTTTCATTTAATACTATGTTTATTAGCATTGCTATTGTCTTAACTTTTTTGTATTAAATGGGTAATTTTCATTGAATAGTGGTATCTAAGGAATATGTTAAAGGACAAAACCAAGCACTCGACATTTTCTTCAGCTTTTTGCATACTTAGTCTGGCAAAACATTTTGCAACAAAATATGATGGTCAGCTAACATGACGCAACAAAATCAGTATTTCTGGACTGTTTTAGTATCATCAATTATTTACATTTGTATTTATCCAATATATCGAAATTTCATTCGCTAAATGATATACAAAGTGTTCAATTATTCTGTTACAATTATCAATATTGAAATATCGATTATTATATTATAAACTAGAAATGTGTCGTCATGCCACGAATGGCCCCGCATGCAGCAAAAATTTCAAATTTTTAAAAATATTTAGTTCCATATTTTTTTGCACAAACTATTTTTTCATTCTTATTCCAAAGCCCTTCAACTATTCAATGTTACCACAAACCATTTTTAGACAAAGTTCAAGGCAATTAAAGTATTCAGTGCTAACCTTTTTTTTAAATTGCACTTTGCATATTTGTAGCTGACTAGATACATTTCAACAAAAGTAAGAGTGCGGAAACAGAACATTTCAATTTTTTTTCAACGTTCAAGAGAGATAACTTTGTCCAAAATCATCAAACCATGACCAAATTCAAACTTGGCCTGCTTATTCATAAGATGTAAGATGTTAAATTTGAGTTGTATAACTCTTGGGGAGAGAATGAACAGAAACTAAAAAATTCTCTTTTTTTTCCAAAGTTTATGAGGGATATCTTTGTCAAAATTATCAATGGCCAAATTCAAATCTGACCAGGGTTATCCTATGACATATCCATATATTAAATTTGAGTTAGTACTAATGGCTGGGAGATAACGAGCAGAAACTGAAAATTGCCCCTTTTTTCAAAGGTAAAGGGGCATAACTCAGCCAAAACTCATTGAACCATGACCAAATTCGAACTTTACCTACCCAGTCCTTTAATGTATCTATATATCAAATTGAGTTGAATATGTACAGTTAGTAGGGACAAAATGAATGGCAACTGAAAAAAATCAAAGCGAAATGGGCATTATAACTCTTTTAAAAATCATCAAACCATGACAAAATTAGAAATTTGCCTGCTGATTCCTTTGACGCATCAATATGTAAAATTTGAGTTGAATGTGTTCTACCGTTGGAGAGATAATGAACGTAAACTGGAATTTTCTTATTTTTTTCAAAGTTAAGGGCATATCTCAATCATTAAATCAGGACAAAATTCAAACTTTACCTGCACATTTCTATGACATATCCATATATGAAATTTGAGTTGAATGTACATACTTGTTTGGGAGATCATAGACGGAAACTGAAAATGTCCTTTTTAAGTTAAAGGGGCATAACTCTGCAAAAAAAATCATCAAACAATGATCAAATTCGAAATTGACCTGCGCATTCATTTGACGTATCCATATTTCAAATGTGAGTTGAATGTGTACAACTGTTTGGGAGATAATTAACGGAACTGAATTTGATCAAGGGGCATAACTCTGCCAAAAATCATGGGGCCATGACCAAATTCGAACTTGACCCGCATTTTCCTTTGATATATCCATATGTTAACTTTGAGTTGAATATGTGCAATCGTTATCAAGATAATGATCGGAAACTGATGATGACGGAAGGACGGAATGACGGAACGGGGTAACACTATATGCCCCTAACATTTTATACGGGGGAATATATATATATAAGTTGCATTGAAATGCAGTGTTCATTTAAATGTGTTCAAGTTAGTATGTGTTCAACCATATGTGTTCCTTTTTGCTATCCTTGCCGATGCCGATGTGTTGCTAGGTTGTGTCATAGAACACTTCATTAAATGCCAAGTGTCTATGTTGATCTTTGTTTTCATAATTCATGGTAGTGTCAGTTAAAGAACAAACTTTTTTTGATTAATTTTTAAGGTGATCGAATCTATTTTGTTTATCATGACAAGTACTGTTGTAAAGTTGGATTCCACAAGAAGTATAGCACATATAATCTTCATATATATTTTTGAAGTAATATTAAGGATTTAAACTATAACTTAGATTTAAGTTTATTTTAAAGTTTAATCATATTGAGCATGCATTGTTTTATAAACATTTCATTCTTATTAAGCACTAGCCTAATGCTGATTATAATTGTACTGAGTAACTTTGAAGAACTTAATGATCAGAATTAACTTAGCATGGACTTTAAACTTAGTGAGATACATATTGTTAATTTAGCATTTGTATGATTTATATATGTTTGTAAATATGTTTAGTTGATTTTAGTTACTAGTTTTTGTTGATATAGATTAAAACATGGCCTGCTTCTATTCAGATTTATTAGTTTAAAAGCACAGAATCATTAAGGTTATTTTTCATATTTTTAGTTATTACATTTTAACAACTTTCAACTGGTGTAAATCTTTTACTTTGCTAGTTTATTCTGATAATCACATTTTTGGTTTAAATGGTAACAGTCTATATTACAGTACTTATTGTCAACTTGTTTAGTTTTAAGTAATCTTAGTTAAATGTAAATAAAACTTAGTTCATTGAAAATTTGGATTATTTAAATTTATTCATCTGTTTTATTTCCCTTTGCATTCAAAGGGTGGTGTCATCCTGACGATTATATTTTTCCCTATAATAGAGTACTCCTGAGCAAACAAAGAACATTAAAAAGTAAATATTAGGTAATAGGTAACTCAATTCTATTTATTTTTGATATGATAATATGCTATTTCTTTGAGGTATCTTTAATACAGTTTAAGGTCAAGTTTTACCTTAGAAAACAATTATTGCTTTTTGCAATGAATTGTTTTTTTTCTAAAACCGGTGTTTTGTTGGATTCCAACTACAACAGGTTATATAATCATTACCTAATATTGTATAATATTACTCAAGAAGTAAAAAATAACAAGAATAAAGATCAACAAGGCAAAGGCAACGTTCACAGGACGCTGTAAATAATATATAATCTTCATATATATTTTTCAAGAAATATATTTTAAAGTTTAATTGTATTAAACATACATTGTTTTATAGACATTTCATCCTTGTCATTCACTAGTTAAATGTTGAATATAATTGTATTGAGTAACTTTGTAGAACTACTAGTAATTGATACATTACTATTATGTTACAGTCACTTAACATGGGCTAAAGTTCCTTTATATAGTTATATACAACATGTATGTTTATAGAGAATGGTTCTATTTTATCATAAACTGGTCCTTAAACTTAGTGAGATACAAATTGTTAATTTAGAATTTATATCTGTTTGTAAATATGTTTAGTTGATATTAGTTACAAGTTTTATTGTTACATATATTTTGCAAAACATTATTATTTTTATAATCATGGTCAATTGATACTGTTCCAAAATTTTCCATGAATCATAATCTATTTTTAGAGTAGTTATGTAAAGTACTGATAAGCCTAGATCATTTGTAAAGTAAATTCTGGTTGGCTGTAATTTGACCAATCAGATAAGTTGTTACATACAGTGTCACCTGTAGGTAGATACTAGCTCCCTCTGGGATGCAGAAGTCCATTTATACAAGCATCTTAGGAAATTTTGACATTCTGCTGCTAATTTTTGGAAAAGTAACATCTCTAAAAACTCTCTAAGGTTAATAAAATTAACTATTTAATTTATTTTATGCACTTAAGCATTTAAATGAACCTTAGAGATTATCTAATTTCACTGAAACATTTTTGATAAATTTGTAAGAAATTTAAGTAATTATTTTCACAGATTAATAAGATTAATAAATATATTTTCTTGGTTTTAAGTAGCAGCCATGTTGAATTATTAGATCCTTATTTTTGATGATATAGATTAAAACAGGGCTTGCTACTATTTATGTTAATTAGTTTAACAACAGAATCATTAAGATTATTTTTTATATTTTCAGTTATTACATTTTCAACACTTTTCAACTGGTTTAAATCTTTTATTAAACTAGTTTATTCTGATTTTCATATTTTTGGTTAAACAGAACTGTTTCATGTTTATTACACATTAATAACTTGTTTAACTTAAAGTTACTTTTAAGTAAGTGTAAATAAAAACTTAGTTCATTAAAAATTTGGTTGATTTGAATTTATTCAACATTTGTGTTTTATTTCCCTTTGCATTCAAAGGGTGGTGTCATCCTGACGATTAGATTTATCCCATTAAAGAATACACCTGAGCAAACTAAGAACATAAGGTAATAAGTAACTTCATTCTATATATAAAAAAACATAAGGCTTTTTATTTTTAACACCACAACAATGGTGCCAAGTGGGATAGAGGCCTACTTCTATTTTTAGAAACACTTATTAACATATTTTTTTCATCACCACAACAATTGAGCTTGCTCAGGGTGTGATTTTAGGATCGTTGAACGTCCGTCATCCGTCCACATTTGTTTGGTCACATTTTTACTTCAATCATCATCAAACTTTGTCAGAATGCTTGTCTAGGAAATTCCTCAGAACAGTTCGAACATGGGTCATCTCGGATGAAAAACTAGGTCACAGGAGCTAAAAATAGAAAAATCTTGTTAACACTCTTGTGGCTACTGTTTTGATCCAAATATCCTGGAAATTAATCTGAAGTTTGTTTTGATGATTTCTAGGTCAAGCTCGAATATTGGTTACATGGGGTCAAAAACTAGGGCACAACGCCCATATATGGAAAACCTTGTTAATACTCTAGTGGTCACTTTTTTGACTCAACTGTCATCAGGCATGGCATGGCCAGGTTGCTTGTCTAAGTAATTGCTCGGATGAGTTCGAACATGGGTCATCTCGGATGAAAATCTAGGTCACAGGAGCTAAAAATAGTAAAATTTTGTTAACACTCTATTGGCTACTGTTTTAAACCAAACATCCTGGAAAGTGTTTGTTTTTGTTTTTTGGGGTTTTACGTCACATCGACACAGTATAGGTCATATCGCGACGTTCCAGCTTTACTGGTGGTGGGAGACCTCAAGTGCCCTTCCTTGCATTATTTCAGGTACGAACGGGCACCTGAGTAGAACCACCGACGTTCCGTAAGCTAGCTGGATAGCTTCCTCACATGAAAGAATCCAAAGTCCTGTTGGGATTCGAACCCACAGCGGTGAGGGGCAAGTGATTTGAAGTCAACGACCTTAACCACTCGGCCACGGACGCCCCTTCCTTGAAATTAATCTGAAAGTTTGTTTTGATGATTTCTAGGTGAAGTTTTAATATGGATTACCTGTGGTCAAAAACTAGGTCACAGCGCCCAAGTATAAAAAAACATTTTTGACTCAACTGTTATAAAACTAAGTCAGGATGCTTGTCTTGGTAATTGCTCGGATGAGTTCGATGGGTCAGGTGAGCGATCTAGGGCCATGTTTATAATTATATCTCAGACTTTGGAAGTATCAGAGTTAAATGTTATTTATTAATATAAATATTGCAAGCTTGCTTTGCTGTGTAATTTTTGTATCAGTGAAGTCGAACCAGGAGAAAAATGTTAATAACACACATTATGCATTACCTTAGACAACAACATCAACAACAACAAAAACATTTTGTATAACTTTTTACACTCACCTCTCTTTCAGGGGTATATAATTCCATGCACGGATAAAAAAATCTTACACTTCTTACGATCAAAGCTCCCTGATAAAATCCAATCCGAACAAATTAAGCATACTTTCGGCCCTTTTTTGAGTAATTATCCGAGTCAAGTGAAATAAACATTGATTTAATGAACTCGTGAATAAACGATCAATCAATTCGATGACATCGGGAAATCCATTTAGGTCATTCCATGTATTGATTTAAATCATTTACATAAAGAGATAAACTAAGTACGTATTCTCTTTTTCATCCAGATATATATATATCATTTTCCCTTTTCATAAGCGCATGTCAGTAAACAAAGTCGTAAATGGAATTGTCATTGTTGTTTCAGTCTTAAAACTAGCTATGAATGAAAATCATGCTTTTCGTCCTCGAACGAACGAAATTGATAATAAAAGTCGTAGTAAAAATGTTCCCACATGTTTCTATATAGACATACTGTACTTTTTTGATAGACTTGTTTTGATTTTGTGTGTTGTTTGTTTTTTTTTCTTTGTTTTGTCAAGTTTTGATCTCTTTATTTTTATTTTTTTTAAAGATGAATGTTAAAATTAGAAAAGAAAATATTGTGTATACGAATAAAGCATCCATGAATAAATTTATTAATAGATTTTACCGCTGAAGCTAAATATGCAACTTAAGGAAAATCGTACTTACTAACTTTTTGCCATTCATGTAAAAGAACAAACGGTATTTCAATATAATCTCTTTACTTATGTATTTCTATCTGCTGTTTATACATCTAAGCATGATATATAAAATGTTGATGATAAAATCATTAAAAATGAACATTATAGACTCCAGTCGGTAAACACAAACTTACAAATGAATCTTTAGTCAATATAATATGTCTTCAACTGAAATATGTACTTTTAATGTAAAAGGTTTAGCATCGACAAACAAACGTGACCGTGTTCTGTGTTGGCTTAACCAACAAAAGAGTTCAATAGCGTTATTGCAAGAAATTCATTATAACTCAAACACTGATGATACAGAAAATTGGTCGGCAAAGTGGAATGGAAAATCTTACTTAAGCGGAAATAGTACAAACAGCTTAGGCGTCGGTATCTTTATTAATACGTCTTGTAATTGTAAAATTTTAGAATATCAAGAAATTATTGTGGGCAGAATGCAACGGATTAAACTAGACATTGAGGAAAAGGTGATAAATATATTCAACGTTTATGCTCCAAATAACGACGATATCATTTTTTTTTCAATATATTAGAAACCAATCTTGATAAATTTAGTGACGAAATACTACTAGTTGGCGGTGATTTTAATACTGTTATTAATCATTCTTTAGACAAACTAAACGGTAAAAGTGATACAAATAAACGAACTTCTAAAACGGTTAATGAACTAATTGATACATTTG